TAGAACAATAAAATTTACGACAAAACTAACATATTAAAATCACTTGGAAAATATTGTTGGAGCAATATACAATTAGTTAATTACCTAAGGAAAAAAGATTCCTATATCATATCATATGTAAAAATATTTTCATACAGACTTAAACATAACATAATAAAACCATAGAAGTACTGAAAGAAAATACAGGCCAGGCACAGTGGCTCACGCCTGTAATCCCAGCACTTTGGGAGGCCAAAGCTGGCAGATCGCTTAAGGTTGCCAGTTCAAAACCAGCCTGGCTAACATGGTAAAACCCCAACTCTACTGAAAATACAAAAATTAGGCCAGGTGAGGTGGCTCACGCCTATGATCCCAGCACTTTGGGAGGCTGGGGTGGGTGGATCATCTGAGGTAGGGAGTTTGAGACCAGCCTGACCAACATGGAGAAACCCCATCTCTACTAAAAATACCAAATTAGCTGGCATGGTGGTGAATGCCTATAATCCCAGCTACTCAAGACTGAGCTGGAGAACCGTTTGAACCCGGGAGGTGGGGGTTGCAGTGAGCCAAGATTGCACCACTGCACTCCAGCATAGGTGACAGTGTGAGACTGGATCTCAAAAAACAAAAAAGTGAAGTATAAGAAAACATACCCAGCAAATGACATGGAAAAACTACTGGGAATAAGGAAAAATACTGGCAGCATATGACAAAGAGTATCTTCTTGAATATGTAAACCAGTAAGAAAATGAAAAGTACACTATAAAAAATAGATATATGCACCAGTTAGATGAATATTTTATTTTCTTCTTTATTCGTATTTTCAGCATTTCATTATAATAAACATACTTTGTAGTAAAAAAAAAAAAACTTGTTACAGCAAAGATGTGGAAAATATTTGACAGTGTGGAAAAATGTTCACATTTTTATATTCAAATCAATCACAAAACAACAAACAAAATATGACTTCACTCTTAGATATATTAATACTTATAGAGAAAAGTCTGAAGGGCACTCACCAATTTTCTACAATAAGATGTATCACTTTGTAATTAAAAAAGTTTATAACATCAGTATCACATGTCTATGATATTATGAAAAAGAAATTTATGACTAAAATTTATCGTATGATTCTAGTTTTTATAAAAAGTTATGTATGCAAAGAAAGTCTGGAATACAGTGATTATTACCCTACACTGGGGACAAGCTATGTGAGTTTTCACTTTTTACTTTATAGCACTTCTGGAATGTAAGAATCTTATTGCTGAAAGCATTTGTATAAGTAAAAAACATGCAGACCTGTAAAAAATAATAGAAGCAAAGGGCCTAAGACAAATTCATTATTGAAAGCATTAAAAGTCTTCTCTTTGCCAAGTCATAGCAAGAAACTCTCCTTTGAACAAGAATTAAAACATCAGGCTGGGCGCGGTGGCTCAAGCCTGTAATCCCAGCACTTTGGGAGGCCGAGGCGGGTGGATCACAAGGTCAAGAGATCGAGACCATCCTGATCAACATGGTGAAACCTCGTCTCTACTAAAAATACAAAAAATTAGCTGGGCATGGTGGCGCGTGCCTGTAATCCCAGCTACTCAGGAGGCTGAGGCAGGAGAATTGCCTGAACCCAGGAGGCGGAGGTTGCGGTAAGCCGAGATCGCGCCATTGCACTCCAGCCTGGGTAACATGAGTGAAACTCCGTCTCAAAAAAAAAAAAAAAAAACAGTACTATCTCAGATAATTTATAACGTGGAAAACTAGCAACAGTCTCTTTCCACCGGTTCTCCTTCACCCCTTCAACTGCAAAACAACTATAAACAAATAAATAAAAATTAAAAATCTGCTACAACTTGTCTGAAACTGGGAAAAAGTATGTAAGGAAAATTATATCCATGTCTACTGAAATCTAAAATAAGGCACAAAATTGATGGAAACTGGTGAAAAAAAAATCACAAAAAATAAAGAAAAGAAAAATGAGGCTGGGCACAGTGGCTCACGTCTGTAACCCCAGCACTTTGGAGGTTGAGTTGGGTGAATCACCTGAGGTCCGCAGTTCGAGACCAGCCTGGCCAACATGGTGAAACCCCATCTCTACTAAAAATGCAAAGAATTAGCCAGGTGTGGTTGCTCACGCCTGTAATCCCAGCATTTCAGGAGGCTGAGGTGGGCGGATCATGAGGTCAGGAGTTTGAGACCAGCCAGGCCAACATAGTGAAACCCCGTCTCTACTAAAAAAATACAAAAAATTAGCTGAGGGTGGTGGTGGGTGCCTGTAAGCCCAGCTACTGGGGAGGCTGAGGCAAGAAAATCACTTGAATCCAGGAGGTGGAGGTTGCAGTGAGCTGAGATTGTGCCACTGCACTCCAGCCTGAGTGACAGTGCTAGACCTGTCTCAAAAAAAGAAAAGAAAAAAAGAAAAATCAAATCAGAGCAAATATAGGAGAAAAAAACTAGTTCTTCACTTTTTATTGCATTAACCGGGATGAAAATATTGCTACATTATGCTATGGTAAGCACACTACTACTACCATGCCTGGATAATTTTTTGTATTTTTGGTACAGACAGGGTATCACCATGTTGGCCAGGCTGGTCTTGAACTCCTCACCTCAAGTTATCTGCCTGCCTTTGTCTTCCAATATGGTGGAATTACAGGCATGGGTCACTGCACCCGGCAAGAATATATGATTTCTGACAAGGAACATGGAAACAGTATGTGCACATTTTGCTTACTTGATTTTTCAATAAAAATAAGCAAATATGAAATTAGGGACTAAGAAATGTATAGCTTATCCTAAAATAGTGATTATAATTATTGGCTTTACAAGACGAAAATAGCCAAACCTCATAACCAACATAAGTACTATGTGTAGTCTAGCTTCCACAACTCAAAGAAAAAGTGGAATTAGAGAAGAGTCCCTCAAAAAGTAACTAATCAGGGACATAAGAGATCAAAGAAGATTATTAACCCAATAGTAGACAGATAAAGATTGAGAAATGGTCAAAGACTTCAAGAGGTCAAATTATGTGGCTAAGATAAAGAATTCTTCATCAAATTCTAGAATTGAGCTTTTAGATGGGAATAAACTTAGAGAATTCATTATTTAAAATTCTAAAATCAGGCTGCGCATGGTGGCTCACACCTACAATCCCAGCACTTTGGGAGGCGATGGGTGGATCACCTGAGGTGGGTGGGTCACCCTTGGTGGCACATGCCTGTAATCCCAGCTACTCGGGAGGCTGAGGCAGAAGAATCACTTGAACCCAGGAGGCAGAAGTTGTGGTAAGCCGACATTGCAGCACTGCACTCAAGCCTGGGCAACAAGAGGGCAATTCCATCTCAAAAAAAGAAAAAAAAATGTAAAATCAAAACCCTGCAAAGAATGAAATAAGTATTCTAGTCTGATATTCTAGCCCACGTAGGGAGTGCTATGGATGGGATCCTTGAGAGATATCACACAGAGACAAAGCACTCATTGCACTCCGTGAGCAATATGAATGACTTTTCTTAGTTTAGACCACTAAATATTGGGGTGATTTGTTACTAGTAATAGAGAACTGGAATACTCCTTGTCCTAAAAATAACCCCGAAACATAGAAAACAGAAATGAGAACTCAATCTTTCATGAAGTTAGCATTCATAAATGAAGACAGGACAAATAGAAGAAAAGATTATGTCTGAGAACACACAGGGGAGGGATACGGAAGAGAAGTAAAACGATTTGTCCCACAGAACTCCAAAAGAGCTCTTCAGCAGAACTGCCAGAAAAGGCTGGCACAGGGCTGAAAACAAGGAAGTTGCGTAAGAATTAGACTCCCAGGTCCCGTCCCTACTTAGCACAGGAAGGCAACTCACTCACTCATATCAGTAGGAGACATAGTCTCTAGACAAAAGTGAATGTTCTGGGCTCAGGACATAATTGTGCTTATTCACAGATGGAACAGCAAGTGAGTTAAGCTACAGTCCACATACTAAATTGAAATCTCTAACCACTCTTTCCCAGCCTAGCGTTAGCATGTCAGCAGCAAGGCTGATACAGATGTTCCTTGACTTACAATGGGTGACATCTCATAATCCCGTCGTAGTTGAATATATCCTAAATCAAAAAAAGCATTGAATACATCTAACCTACCAAATATCATAGCTTAGCCTAGCCTACCTTAGACATGCTCAGAAGACTTACATTAGCCTATAGTTGGGCAAAATTACAGTATACTGCAGAGTATAAATGTGTAACCTCATGATCACCTGGCTGACTGAGAGTGTGGCTCACTGCTGTTACGTGGCATTGTATGAGCGTATGGTACCACATATCGCTAGCTTGGGAAAAGATCAAAATCCAAAATTCAACCTATGGCTTGTACTGAATGTGTATCACTTTCATACCATTGTAAATGTGAAAAATCATAAGTCGAACCATTGTAAGTCAGGGACTGTCTGTACTGCCTAGGCAAGAAATTGAAGAATTCATCATAGAGAAACTGACCTATCCCAAGAAAAGATCAATAGACACTGATATATGGAGGTTCTCAGTAAATATTAAGCCTGGATGCCACTTCATTGTACAATAGGGAAGCCTCACCATCACTACACCTGGCCTCTACACACATGGCTTCCATTTAGCTTTTAAGGGCTTTATTCTTTTTGTTGAGCAAGAGTCTCACCCTGTTGCTCAGGCTAGAGTGCAGTGACACGATTTTGACTCACTGAAACCTACGCCTCCCAGGCTCAAGCAATTCTCTTGCCTCAGCCTCCCGAGTAGCTGGGATTACAGGTGCCCGCCACCATGCCCGGCTAATTTTTGTATTTTTAGTAGAGATAGGGTTTCAACATGTTGGCTAGGCTGGTCTCGAACTCCTGACCTCAGGTGATCTGCCTGCCTCAGCCTTCCAAAGTGCTGGGATTACAGGCATGAGCCACTTCACCCAGCCATTAAGTGCCTTATTCTTTTTTTTTTTTTTTTGAGACGGAGTTTCACTCTTGTTACCCAGGCTGGAGTGCACTGGTGCAATCTCGGCTTACCACAACCTCCGCCTCCTGGGTTCAGGCAATTCTCCTGCCTCAACCTCCTGAGTAGCTGAGATTACAGGCACGCGCCACCACGCCCAGCTAATGTTTTGTATTTTTAGTAGAGATGGGGTTTCACCATGTTCACCAGGATGGTTTCGATCTCTTGACCTCGTGATCCACCTGCCTTGGCCTCCCAAAGTGCTGGGATTACAGGCTTGAGCCACCGCGCCTGGCTAAGTGCCTTATTCTTATATAAACAGACAAATAAGGATTATCAGGCTTTGAGAAAAGCCCTGAACTCCAAATTGAACAAAGAGAAAAGCCTGAAAAATACATACAAATTGCTTTTCGAAAATAAATAGGTAATAGCAGAAAAACATTTTGATATAAAAGTTAGAAGATAAACTTGGGAAATCTCATAGATAGTAAAATAAGATAAATATTAGAAGCAAAACGATTAAAAAAATTAAAAGGATGGGCATAGGAGGCCTAACATTGAAGCAACTAGAATTGCAGGAAGTAAGAATAGAGACTAAAGAGTGAAAACTCGGCCGGGCGCGGTGGCTCACGCCTGTAACCCCAGCACTTTGGGAGGCCGAGGCGGGTGGATCACGAGGTCAAGAGATCGAGACCATCCTGGTCAACATGGTGAAACCCCGTCTCTACTAAAACTACAAAAAATTAGCTGGGCATGGTGGTGCGTGCCTGTAATCCCAGCTACTCGGGAGGCTGAGGCAGGAGAATTGCCTGAACCCAGGAGGCGGAGGTTGCGGTGAGCCGAGATCGCGCCATTGCACTCCAGCCTGGGTAACAAGAGCGAAACTCTGTCTCCCAAAAAAAAAAAAAAAAAAAAAAAGAGTGAAAACTCTCACATAGAAAATACAAGAACGTTTCCCAAAACTAAGGCACAAGTTTTCTGAGCACCTATTAGAATACATTTTATTTTATTTGTATTTCTTTTTTTCGATGGAGTCTTGCTCTGTTGCTCAGGCTGGAGTGCAGTGGCACAATCTTGGCTCACCGCAATCTCTACCTCCTGGGTTCAAGCGATTCTCCTGCCTCAGACTCCTGAGTATCCGGGACTAAAGGCGCATGCCACCATGCCCAGCTAATTTTTTTGTATTTTTAGTAGAGACAGGGTTTTACCATGTTGGCCAGGATGGTCCCAAACTCCTGACCTCAGGTGATCCACCCAGCTCGGCCTCCCAAAGTGCTGGGATTACAGGCGTGAGCCACTGTGCCCAGCCCGAATACATTTTAAGAAGACCTATACCTCAGAAAAGGAACCTAAAAGCTTCTAGAGAGAAACAAAACAAAATAAAACAAAAGTAGACTGTTTATAAAGAGGCCTCGAAAGGGCATCAGCCCCCTGGACACCAATAACAGAAACTTGAAGACAATTGAACAATGCCTTCCAAATTCTAAGTACAAAAAGTAATTTTAAACCTACAATCCTGTATTTAATTAATTATGAATGAAGAATATGCTAGTTTAGAATGTACAGTATCAAATTTTCCATTTACTCACCCTTTCTCAAAAAGCTACAGCAGAATATGTTCAAGCAAAATGAAAGCAAATCAAGAAAGAGGAAGACAATAAATCTTAACCAAGTCAGAAGCAACTGTGCAGAAGGCCAACAGAACAGCAAGTACAGGGCCGGGCGCGGTGGCTCATGCCTGTAATCCCAGCACTTTGGGAGGCCAAGATTGGTGGATCACCTGAGGTCAGGAGTTCGAGACCCAGCCTGGCCAACATGGTGACACCCCATCTTTAAAAAAAAAAAGAATACCAAGTACGGAATGGAGTGGGAGCATGGAGGGATCCAGAGAGATGATTAAGAAATTGATATAATGGCTGGGCGTGGTGGCTCACATCTGTAATCCAAGCACTTTGGAGGCCAAGGCGGTCAGATCACCTGAGGTCGGGAGTTCAAGACCAGCCTGACCAACATGGTGAAACCCCATCTTTAAAAAAATAATAAAAAATAAAAAAATTAAAAAAAAGAAATTGATATATTTTACATGTGTTACCAAGTAGAAAGAGGTGTTTTTACAGAGCTGTTGGAGGGGACAGAAGGCAAGCCAGAGATTTAAAGAGAATGCTAATTTGAAAATGTTAATTCCAAGAAAATAAGCTTTAAAAAACAAAGGAGAAATAATCATAGTATGTTAGTTGACTTAAGAGAGAACAACTCTCATATCCGTTTGGAATCCAAGTCATAGCATAAAAATTTATATCTGTAAGCCACCTTATACTTATTCCATTTCAACCTGCTGATTTCACATAGATAAAAAAAGAATTTTGGGCCGGGCGCGGTGGCTCACGCCTATAATCCCAGCACTTTGGGAGGCCGAGGCGGGTGGATCACGAGGTCAAGAGATCGAGACCATCCTGGTCAACATGGTGAAACCCCATCTCTACTAAAAATACAAAAATTAGCTGGGCATGGTGGCGCACGCCTGTAGTCCCAGCTACTCGGGAGGTTGAGGCAGGAGAATTGGTTGAACCCAGGAGGCAGAGGCTGCGGTGAGCCGAGATGGTGCCATTGCATTCCAGCCTGGGTAACAAGAGCGAAACTCCTTCTCAAAAAAAAAAAAAAAAAAAAAAAAAAAGAATTTTAGGAGTGTTAAATGACATACATTAGTTAGTGCCACCACTCAAAGAACTATCAGTTGTCACAAGTCTCACCCATCTACTACCGTGGACAGACTGGTTTCAGTAATCAGAATATACCAGTAATGCTGTCATTCTGAGTTTTGGTTCTACCTATAAGTATGTGAAATTTGGGAAGTAACAACTAGATGTACCGTTTTCTATAAAGCTAGAAGAATGGTACCTTTCGAAACTCCTTCAGAGTTAACACAAGGGTCCTATTAGAAACTGGATTTTTAAAATGCTAAAAATAATTTTTAAAGTTTATATTTGTAATAATTACTAATATTAATGTAAACATTATGATGTCATGAGAGGCGTAATATTTGGTTGGTGGATAAGGCAAAGCAGATACCAGGGCAACTTGCCTCTTTCCATGCAGAGCAGATGCTCATGGCTCTTTCATTTGTTTTATATTTGGCTATTCTAAATTCATATTTGAAAGTTTTATATTTAATTAAAAACTATAACCATACTTGGTTGAATTCTATTTCATAATGCCCTTTTTTTCGTTTTAAGGTGGGGTCTCGCTCTGTTATCTAGGGTAGAATGCAGTAGTGCAAATACAGCTCACTGCAGCCTCGACCTTCTGGGCTCAAGCAATGCTCCTGTGTTAACCTCCCAAGTAGCAGAGACTATAGAAATGCACCACCCAATGCAGCTAATTTTTTGTTTTTTATAGAGGCGAGATCTTGCCATGTTACCCAGGATGTTCTTGAATTTCTGGCCTCAAGCAATCCTCCTGCCTCAGCCTCCCAAATTCTGGGTAATAATGCATTTTTTAAAAGCCTATCTGACTTGAAGATGGAGACTTAATCTTTAACCGTTCTTAGGAATTTTCCTGAGAACAAAACACTCTGTAGAGAAAACTGAGATAGAGGCTGATATACAGATTGTGATTAGGTTAAAAATAAAAAAAAGTCTCAGCCAATTATGTTATCACTTGCCTAGGCCTAGCATTTAGTATTTTTCTTTCCTGAAAGTTTAACTTGCCCATCTTGAGACTAACTTGCCCACTGTCTAGAATACTCCAGAGTAAAAAGTCACCAAATCTGACTGAGGCAAAGGCAAGTCTGAACAGCTGAACAGTTTGAATTGTTAACTATTATTCAAAAAGAAAGTTGGGGCCGGGCGCGGTGGCTCAAGCCTGTAATCCCAGCACTTTGGGAGGCCGAGGCGGGTGGATCACGAGGTCAAGAGATCGAGACCATCCTGGTCAACATGGTGAAACCCCGTCTCTACTAAAAATACAAAAAATTAGCTGGGCCTGGTGGCACGTGCCTGTAATCCCAGCTACTCAGGAGGCTGAGGCAGGAGAATTGCCTAAACCCGGGAGGCGGAGGTTGCGGTGAGCCGAGATCGCGCCATTGCACTCCAGCCTGGGTAACAAGAGCGAAACCCCGTCTCGAGAAAAAAAAAAAAAAAAAAAGAAAGTTTAGGCCAGTTGTGGTGGCTCACTCCTGTAATCCCAGCACTTTGGGAGGCCAAAGTGGAAGCACTGCTTGAGCCCAGGAGTCTGAGGCCAGCCTGGGCAACATAGCAAGACGCTGTTGCTACAAAAAATAAAAATTTGCTGACCTTAGTGGTACATACCTGTAGTCTGAGCTACTTGAGAGGTTGAGGCTGAAGGATAAAAACATTTTTTTTTTTTTTTTTTTTTTAGAGGGAGTTTTGCTCTTGTTGCCCAGGCTGGAGTGCAATGGCTGGCATAATCTCGGCTCACTGCAACATCTGCCTACTGGGTTCAAGTAATTCTCCTGTCTCAGCCTCCGGAGTGGCTGGGATTACAGGCATGCGCCACTACACCTGGCTAATTTTTGTCTTTTTAGTAGTGACCAGGTTTCACCACGTTGGTCAGGCTGGTCTCAAACTCCTCACCTTAGATGATCCGCCTACCTCAGCATTCCTAAGTGCTGGGATTACAGGCATTAGCCACTGCACCTGGCCAACTTTTTGTGTTTTGAGATAGTCCCATTCTGCTGTCCAGGTTGGAGTGTAGTCGCATGATCATGTCTCACTGCAATCTTTGCCTCCCAGGCTCAAGTGATCCTCCCACCTCAGCCTCTCTCCCAAGTAGCTGGGACTACAAGCATGTGCCACTGGGCCCAGCCAAGCTTTTAAAAATTTTTTTGTAGAGACAAGGTTTCACTGTTGCCCAGGCTGATCTCAAACTCCTGGGCTCAAGTGATCTGCCCACCTCAGGCTCTCAAAGGGCTGGGATTATAGGCATGAACTATCACGCCCGGCTGGAGCCTAAGAATTTGAGGCTGAAGTAAGCTAAGATTGTATCACTGCACTCCAGGTTGGATGACAGAGTGAGACCCTGAATCAAAACAACAACAACAACAAAAAGGAAGAAACAAGCAAAGAAAGAAAGAAAAGGCTCTACTATTACTATTGTC